ATGTACAAGTTTATATCATTTCGAATTAGGGGCATACAGAGTTCCATGAACTGTCTTCCTACTATCACCGAGAACCATTTGATATACTTTATAACACACTGAAAGAATCGGAAAGAATTGCAATTATTATATAGCTAGGTTTTGATATCATTATTTGCTTGTCATAACTACACCACAACAGGGATCGAGCGATTACCTTCTGTTTGCATGGAGCAAGATAAACAACTTACATGTAGGCTTCTATGAACAGGCCAACATTTACATCATCCTTATTACAGTGTTTGTACAACATGTTATCAACAGGAGTTTTCCTCACGTTTCATAGATACTGTAACACTGTGCATTTTAACAGCGTTCTTTGGTTCTCTTCGATGAACTGGAAACATTCACTTGTTGAATTAGGGATGTAATCTAAAGTGCCTAGTAATCAGTGATGTTGATGTCAGGGTAGTACTTTGCTTTTGGTGTGAAACTTAGAACACCAAGACTGATTACAATTAAAGAATAGTTTGAACCAGTGGTGCCTTAGTATAAGTAACAATTAACTTGAGAATGGGGGCCGTATACTTTCTCCTCCTTTCTTTAAAGTGACTCTGATGCAATGCGTTTATTCCTTATTTGGACAACTCAGTTATGCCTTGGTTATAACTAAAGTTTCGTAGTCATTCTTAAGACAATACATCAGGACTTATAAGAAGTTTATTTGCAAATATCATGATAAATGTATCATTGAGTCTTTGTCATAGTTTTCTTATAACTAATTTATATTTTTATATGGTATTATTTCTTGGGGGCTTTCACTCATTCATCATTCATTATGAATTCACTCAATTTGGCCTTTATAATTCAAGGGGAATTATACTCCCCCAATTCAATAATACATCAGATGGGTTAATTCCTGCCAGGTCGGTAATTTCTCTAGTCAAGTAGCTTACACCTGCCGGGATCGCCCCAGGTGACATTTCATACAGTTAAGTTTAATTTCTCTAGTCAAGTAGCTCACACCTGCCGGGATCGCCCCAGGTGACATTTCATACAGTTAAGTTTGCTGCAGGGATCTCCCCATCATTGTTATGTATTTAAAAAATTTAAAGGTTAAATTTTCCAATGAATGAGTAGCCCCAAGAAAGCCAATAATGTAACATTTTAAGTTAAAGAAATGTTTATTGTTACATGTATGTTATGGTGTTTAATTTATATAATGATGTTTAGAGTTATTATGTTATATAATAAAAGTCTTTCTTTAAAATGTGTTGTGTATAAAAGGAAATTTGATTTATTAAATTATAGTTTATACACAACACAATTTATCTTCTATCTAGAGTTTAGAAGCCTCTGTCAATCTATTTTTAGATTCTATTATTGTTTACTACTAGAGGGGGTATGTGTTTTGATGACCTCATTATCAGATTGACAAACTTACCTACACGTGTATCATATGTATGTTAATCAGCTATCCCACCCACCGTCCCCAGCTACTCCAATCTGGGTTTCGAATAATATACTTGTATCTTACCAGTATGTAACTGTTAGTGTATAGATAGATAGTGAAGCTTCATATTGTATTTGTTGAACCTAAGGGATTTTCATTCTAGCCTTTTTTTAATAATTAACAATGATTTATAACATATTATTGTACATATGATATTGATGTTATGATATTAGTTCTTTAATAATCGTTTTAATCATTAATAACTAACTTAGTCATTAAGTTTAGTTTTATGTATGTACATTGTATATTTAGACTTGTTTTCTCACCAATTTAGAGGCTACTCATATTATGGATAATTGCATCAGGCCTTTATAATTCAAGGGGAATTATACTCCCCCAATTCAATAATACATCAGATGGGTTAATTCCTGCCAGGTCGGTAATTTCTCTAGTCAAGTAGCTTACACCTGCCGGGATCGCCCCAGGTGACATTTCATACAGTTAAGTTTAATTTCTCTAGTCAAGTAGCTCACACCTGCCGGGATCGCCCCAGGTGACATTTCATACAGTTAAGTTTGCTGCAGGGATCTCCCCATCATTGTTATGTATTTAAAAAATTTAAAGGTTAAATTTTCCAATGAATGAGTAGCCCCAAGAAAGCCAATAATGTAACATTTTAAGTTAAAGAAATGTTTATTGTTACATGTATGTTATGGTGTTTAATTTATATAATGATGTTTAGAGTTATTATGTTATATAATAAAAGTCTTTCTTTAAAATGTGTTGTGTATAAAATGAGAATTAATTTAAAGTCTTGAATTGTTTGATGTTTTTACCATGTATTACTATATTGGATATTTGGACATTTTTAAATAGGTCTACATTGAGGTCAAAAGGGTCCAAAATTAGACTTTGTTTGATTTCATCAAAAACTGAATTCTTGTGGTTCTATGATATGCTGAATCTAACTGTGCATTCAGATTTTTGTCGAGCCTGCGACTTTTGTCGCAGAAAGCTCGACATAGGGATAGTGATCAGGCAGCGACGGCGTTAGCTAACTTCTTAAATACTTTATATTTTAGAAGCTAGAAGACCTGGATGCTTCATACTTTGTATATAGATGCCTTATGTTACGAAGTTTCCGTATGTCATATGTCCATTGTCCTTGACCTCATTTTCATGGTTCAGTGAATACTTGAAAAAAAAAGTCAACATTTTTTGTAATGTTAATTTCTTTCTTATTATGAGTAATAGGATAACTATATTTAGTATGTGTGTACCTTGCAAGGTCCTCATGCCTGTCAGACAATTTTCATATGACCTCAACCTCATTTCATGGATCAGTGAACAAGGTTAAGTTTTCGTGGTTAAGTCCATATATTAGATACTATAAGCAGTAGGTCTACTATAATTGGTATATGGAATGATTGTAAGGTGTACATGTCCAACTGGTAGGTGTCATCTGACCTTGACCTCATTTTCATAGTTCAGTGGTCAAAGTTAAGTTTTTGAGTTTTGGTCTTTTTTCTTATACTATATGCAATAAGTCAACTATATTTGGTGTATGGAAATATTCTATGATGTACATGTCAGTCTCGCAGGTTTTATTTGACCTTGACCTCATTTTCACGGTTTATTGCTCAGTGTTAAGTTTATGTGTTTTAGTCTGTTTTCTTAAACTATAAGCAATAGGTCAGCTATATTTGTTGTATGGAAGGAATGTAAGCTGTTCATGTCTGCCTGGCATGGTTCATTTGACCTTGACCTCATTTTCACAATTCATTGGTCAATGTCTAGTTTTCTTGAGAACTGTAAGCAATAGGTCAACTATATTTAGTGTATTGAATGATTGTAAGGTGTACATGAATTTCTCCTTTGGTTCATATATGACCTTGACTTCATTTTCTTGGATCATGTTAAGTTTATGTAATAGTTGTAGTAATGCTTTCATTTAGGACTATCAACATAATATCAATGGTTAGTAAAGAAGGCGAGACATTTCAGCGTGTGCACTCTTGTGTTTTTATATGCTGAATCTAACCATGGAATTAGATTTTGGATATTGGACCATTAAGTAGATTAAATGTCCCATTTCAAATTTTTAAGTTATCTGACCACATTTATTCTGTGTTAGAAATCTATAATGTGTCAAATTCAGAGCTGTATCAAGCTTGAATATTGTGGCCATGCTTGCACCAACTGTTCAGAGTTCGACCTCTGTGGTTGTATCCAGTTGCTCCAGGCTGGCGCATTTTTTTGTTTGAAATGAAGCGTTGGTCATAGAATTGTACTTGATTATAGATAAATAGATTATCTTACTAAAACTTGTTAAATTTTTTTGCATCAATTTGTTTATTTACATAGAAGATGACAGGGTAAAAAAATTGTTGATTTAAAAATGTCTGCAAGGTACAATAGGAACGTAAACCTCAATGAATAAAAGGGAAAAGACTGTAAAACATAAAAATCATTTTTATGCCCCGTGTAGCGGAGGGGTCATTAAGTTTTACCCTTGTCAGTCTGTACGTCAGTACTTCCGAAATTGGTTTCCGTTCTCTAACTTTAGTTTGTCTCAACCAAATTTTATATAACTTATACACAATGCTTATTACCACAAAACACAGATCAAGTTTGAGTTTTGGTGGCATCACTTTTACCATTCTTTAGTTATGGCTCTTTTCAAATGGAAAAATTGCTGAATTTTTTGCTTCCGTTCTCTAAGTTTAGTTTGCTTCAACTAAACGTTATGAATCTTATACACAATGTTTATTACCACAATACACAGATCAAGTTTGAAATTTGGTAGCATCACTTTTACTGTTCTTGAGTTATGTTCCTTTATAATGTTGTATGCAAGCGGGGCATCATCTGTGTCCCATGGACATTTGATTTATGTAATGGTCGTAGAAATTGAAGAATAATGTATCAAATTTTTTGTGATCTTTCTAATCTTGGTATGAACAGGGAATTGTACTTTTAGATAACACTATTTTTTGGTTAACATTTTAACCACGGTCTGAAGCAAGGTTTAATCTAAATAATCTATCCAAGGTTTTAACAAAGGGTTAAATTTAACCAAGGGATGAACAACAGAAATTAACCAAGGGTTAAATTTTAAACAAGGGGTATGATATTTAACCCTTGGTTAAAATTAAACCAAGAGATGAACAACTGGGTCCAATGATAGATAAGTGAATGCCCTGAATAATAGAGGAATCTAACACTTAAAATACAATGACGCTGAAAACTGAAAGTAGCAAAATAAGAAAAATGGATGATTCCTCAATTGAATAACACCTTTAAATAGATTTAAACTATTCTTTTCCATACCTACCAGGCATATTAAGAGAAATCTGCATGGAAAAAAGTGGAACAGAGGCCAAAACAAGAAAAGTACTCACAATGAACTTTCACAAATCTCAGTTTAAAGCTAGTATATGAACATTACCAATGGTCAGAGCATAACAATGTGGCTGTGTTAACATTGTACAAAGATATGGACCAGATATTGTGTGAGTTGGGAGAGGTATTGGAGTATTGTAAATAGGTGATTTTATTTTTCAGAATCAGTGCAGCTGGAGGTAGAGGAGGGACTGGGATAAATGCACCGAATGTTTCAGGTGGAGGCTATGTGGAGGGCACGTTTAACTTGACAGAAGGAGAGAAGATTTATATTGTAGTAGGACAACCAGGCTCTAATGCATGTTCTCATCAAAGGGTATGTATAAGATAAACAACATTAGATAAATCTTTTCTTTTACTCATCAAGATTTAAGGGCAATCCGAGCTGTCAATGTGATGAATGGATGATTATTTTTTTAATTACAAAAGTCTTTATAAACATTGATATATTGTGGCTAGACTTGTGTGCATTCAATTGTTTGTCCCAATATGAGCTTTCCAGTATATATATTTTTGTTCAAAATTTCCATATGAAATAACATTTTTAAACCAACATTTTTTTCTGTTTATAAAGGATACATGTCTAAAACAGATCTAGGTCGACCACTTTATGTCCAGCCATATATATTTGAAGATGTTTTAACTTTCAAGAAATGTCTAAACATTTTCAAAAGGTTCTTTTGAGATTCATGTTGAAAAGTCAAATGAATGTTTTAAAAAGAAATTATTGACGTTGGGAGCCACATCTATAAATTCCAGGAATTTTTAAACAAGATAAATGACAAAACATTTTGGAAAACAGGAATCACAAAAACTAAATCCAATATTATCCAATGATAGATTTATATCCCTTTGTCAAAAGAAATTCAGAATCATGATATAAAAATTGGTTTAAATATGCATTTGATAGACTGTAGGAGATGGATTTGGTGATAAAACTGCAACATATATTGTTGTTGAACTAGGAAAGTGGTTGTATTTCATCAGTAATACTTTTTTTTATAACAAATTACAAATTTACCATTGCAACAATTTTTTTTTCAGATTGGTGAAATAAAGGATCTTTGTCATTTAGGCCTACCAACAAATGAGGAAGAATTCTTAAGAAAGAACAGATGGGGTGGAGGTGGTGGGGGAGGGGCAACTTATGTGTTTAAGGTATTTTGTATACTTGGTCTGCATGTTTGGGGAGGGACAACTTTTGTATTTAAGGTATTGTGTATACTTTGCCTGCATGTTTGGGGAGGAACAACTTTGTAAGGTACTGTGTATATTTTGCATGTTTGGGGAGGGGCAACTTTTGTGTTTAAGGTATTGTGTATACTTAGTCTGCATATTTGGGGAGGGGCAAATTATGTGTTCAAGTTATTGTGTTTACTTTGTCTGCATTTTTGGGGAGGGGCAACTTAAGTGATCAAGGTAATGTGTATACTTTGTCTGCATTTTTGGGGAAGGGCAACTTAAGTGTTCTATGTATTGTGTATACTTTGTCTGGATGTTGGTGGAGGGGCAACTTAAGTGTTCTATGTATTGTGTATGCTTTGTCTGGATGTTAGTGGAGGGGCAACTTAAGTGTTCTATGTATTGTGTATACTTTGTCTGGATGTTGGTGGAGGGGCAACTTAAGTGTTCTATGTATTGTGTATGCTTTGTCTGGATGTTAGTGGAGGGGCAACTTAAGTGTTCTAGGTATTGTGTATACTTTGTCTGGATGTTGGTGGAGGGGCAACTTAAGTGTTCTATGTATTGTGTATGCTTTGTCTGGATGTTAGTGGAGGGGCAACTTAAGTGTTCTAGGTATTGTGTATTCTTTGTCTGGATGGTGGTGGAGGGGCAACTTTCTTTTGTGTTTACAGTATTGTGTACACTTTGCATGTTTCGAGAGGGGCAACTTATGTGTTTAAGGTATTGTTTACACCTTGTTTGCATGTTTGGGGAGGGACAACTAATGTGTTCTAGGTATTGTGTTTACTTTATCTGCAATGTTTGGGGAGGATCAACCTATGTGTTCAAGGTATTATTTATACTTTGTCTGCAATGTTAGGGCGGGGGCAACTTATGTGTTTAAGTATTGTGTTTACTTTGCCTGCATGTATGGGAAGGATCAACCTATGTGTTCAAGGTATTATTTATACTTTGTCTGCAATGTTAGGGAGGGGCAACTTATGTGTATAAGGTATTGTGTTTACTTTGCATGTTTGGGGAGGGACAACTTATGTGTTCTAGATTTTTTGTGTATACTTTGTCTGCATGTTTGGGGAGGATCAACATATGTGTTAAAGGTATTGTGTATACTTTGCCTGCAATGTTAGGGAGGGGCAACTTATGTGTTTAAGGTATCGTGTATACTTTGTCTGCATGTTTAAGGAGGGGCAACTTATGTGTTTAAGGTATCGTGTTTACTTTGTCTGCATGTTTAAGCCAATTAAGGAGGGGCAACTTATGTGTTCTAGGTTTTTTGTGTATACTTTGTCTGCATGTTTGGGGAAGAGCAACTTATGAGTTCAAGGTATTGTGTATAATTTTTCTGTGTGTTTGGGGAGATACATCTTATGTGTTTAAGGTACTGTGTATACTTTGCATGGTTTGGAAGGGCAACTTATGGGTTTAAAGTATTGTGTTTACTTTGGGTGCATTTTTCACTCTAGTCTTAAAATGTTGTTTAAAATAAACCTTTGTCTGGAAAATCATATAGATTAGTATTAATTGAAGATATCTACAAAGACATGTTTTCCTAAAATAAAATGCATTTAAAAAACAAGCGAAAAAAAAGGTAAAATTATGAATAAAAGGAAGTGGGGTATAAGTAAGTGTGGCACCATCCCAAATGAAAATTATATTTTTTTGTAAAAAGCAAATCAAGTATTTAGTTTGTCATTAAACTGATAAAAATATTCTGGTTTTAAAAGCAAAGAACTTAGCTGCAAGTGGATGATATCCATGGTCATCTCTGACACGAGTGTATCAACTATGTGGTCATCTCTGACACAAGTTTATCATATATGTGGTCATCTCTGACAAGTGGATCATATCCATGGTCATCACTGACACAAGTAGATCATATTCATGGTCATCACTGACACAAGTGTATCATATATGTGGTCATCTCTGACACAGTAGATCATATACATGGTCATCACTGACACAAGTGGATTATATTTGTGGTCATCTCTGACACAAGTGGATTATATCCATGATAATCACTGCCACAAGTGGTTCAATTACATGCATGGTCATCACTGACACAAATGGATCAAATCTGAGGTCATCTCTGACACAAGTAGATCAGCTATGTGGTCATCTCCAACACAAATGGATCATATATGTGGTCATCAATGACAAGTGCATCATATCTATAGTCATCTCTGACACAAGTAAGTCATATCTGTGCCTTTTCTGTGGTATCCCGTGACACAAGTGGATCATATATGTGGTCATCTCTGACACAAGTAGATCATATATGTGGTAATTTTTGACACAAGTAGATCATATCCATGGTTATCTCTGACACAAGTGGATCATATCTGTGGTCATCTCTGACACAAGTGGATCATATCCATGGTTATCTCTGACACAAGTGGATAATATCGGTGGTCTTCTCTGACACAAGTGGATCATATCTGTTGTCATCTCTGATGCAAGTGGATTATATCATTGGTCATTACTGAAGCTTATTTTTCATATCCATCAAACAAATAGCTTTTAAAAATTTCAAAAATTTGGTTCAAGTTAACATTAAGATATTTTGGTTGAGTAGTCTTGAAGATATACACCCACTAGAATTTTATCATAGAAGTGGAAAGTTTGCAATGGGAAAATTGAAAAGTTGTTGTAAAGTTTAGTACTCAACTCCTTACTGTCATTTCAAGGTTGAATGGTTATTTTTATTACCATTATTATATATATATAGCACCTTAAACAATAAATGTTCGAAAATTAAAGTAAATAGCCTATATTTATGAATACAGTTTTATTTCAGTATGATGACAAAGATAATGTTGTGCCATTAATTGTAGCTGGAGGAGGAGGGGGTCAAGGTTACAGAAGTTCTGGAACACAACACAAAAAAAGAATTCTAGATATTTATAATACCAGTGGAAGTAATGGAGTGACTTCATATAATAGTTCAGGTAATTTTCATTAGATATCAAACATGATTATGTGTATAACAGAGTTGTTTTAATGTGGGCTGAAACGAAGCATGCATGAGTATAATCATTTTAAAGAAAGAAACTTAAAGAAAAATACTTAACTGTTTTTTGTTTCATATCAATTTTCTTGTAGCTGCATGTTGAAAAATGAATCACAGATAGTGGGTAGTGGATGTTGGTCAATATCTAGTATTCTTATAGCTGTTCAAGTTGTTTAGTATTCTGTATTTAGTACTTTATGTATACATTTGAAGTTTGATGCTGTTCATTCACCAAGGGAGGGGGGATGGAGGTAGGTATGTAACTTTTTTTAGTGGGTAGTGGATGTTGGTCGTACCCCCAAAACTGCCATAATAAGTTGTACTTCAAAGAAATTGTCTTTTGCCTTTTTCTGTTTTTATTGATTTGTTGAATTGAACTGTCAATATATAAACCTTGTTTGTATGTATTTTGCCATGTTTTTGTTCCACATAAAACTTGCAAATTCAACCTGTATTTTGGTATCGTCGAAACCAAAATTTTATCGGCCTTTCGCACTTTCACATATGTATAACAAGATCATAATTCATGCACAAATGAATGATAACTATATAAATACTCAAAGTACCATAAATTATAATGCACAAATTTAAAAAATAATTACGTTATAAATCAAATTAAAAAAGTATATTAAACTTTGCCTATCATGATATTTATTTCAGGTGGTTTTACCTTCTTAGCAATTCTCTTATATTAATTGCATCTGTCCATTCCAACATTATCTTCTGACAAAAACTGCTCTCTGCCTCATTTCAGCATACAACATCATTGTTAAAATTTAAAATCTTCACTTTTCTTGATAAAACAAAAATGGTGTCCGCTAGCATTCAGTGCAATTGCGAGAATGTTGGCTAATGTGAAGAGATAACATGCACCTAATCCTCATTGGTCAATTAGATATCATTAACCAATGCTACTCGTAAATAGTCTTAACCCTGATCGTGAGATGACCATACTGACCTTAACTGCCTGTAATCAAAAACTTAGTATACATAATTCACAGACAACCCCATGCAAATTTACTGTTTCATATTACTCTTGATAAGGATAATTTTCTGACAAAAATGTTTTTATGTACCAAAAAATTATTTTCTTTCTTTAATATGGCATTTAAGGAAGTGAAATATCAAAAGACTTGTTGTGGCAAACTTCAATGAGAGCTTGTTCGCTTGCAGCACTGCATTGTTTGGTTTTTGTCGGGCCTGCGACTTTTGTCGCAGAAAGCTCGACATAAGGATAGTGATCCGGCGGCGGCGTTAGCTAACTTCTTAAAAGCTTTATATTTTAGAAGGTGGAAGACCTGGATGCTTCATACTTTGTATATGGATGCTCCATGTTACGAAGTTTCCGTCAGTCACATGTCCAATGTCCTTGACCTCATTTTTATGGTTCAGTGACTACTTGAAAAAAAAGTTAACATTTTTTGTAATGTTAAATTCTCTCTTATTATAAGTAGTAGGATAACTATATTTGGTATGTGCATTCCTTGCAAGGTCCTCATGCCCGTCAGACAATTTTCATTTGACCTCGACCTCATTTCATGGATCAGTGAACAAGGTTAAGTTTTGGTGGTCAAGTCCATATCTCAGATACTATAAGCAATAGGTCTAGTATATTCGGTGTATGGAAGGACTGTAAGGTGTACATGTCCAACTGGCAGGTGTTATCTGACCTTGACCTCATTTTCATGGTTCAGTGGTTATAGTTAAGTTTTTGTGTTTTGGTCTGTTTTTCTTATACTGTATGCAATAGGTCTACTATATTTGGTGTATGGAATGATTGTAAGGTGTACATGTCTAGCTGGCAGGTGTCATCTGACCTTGATCTCATTTTCATGGTTCAGTGGTTATAGTTAAGTTTTTGTGTTTTGGTCTGTTTTTCTTATACTGTATGCAATAGGTCTACTATATTTGGTATATGGAATAATTCTGAGGTGTACATATCCAACTGGTAGGTGTCATCTGACCTTAACCTCATTTTCATGGTTCAGTGGTCAAAGTTAAGTTTTTGAGTTTTGGTCTTTTTTTCTAATACTATATGCAATAGGTCAACTATATTTGGTGTATGGAAATATTTTATGATGTACATGTCAGTCTCGCAGGTTTTATTTGACCTTGACCTCATTTTCAAGGTTCATTTCTCAGTGTAAAGTTTTTGTGTTTTGGTCTGTTTTTCTTCAACTATAAGCAATAGATCAACTATATTTGTTGTATGGAAGGACTGTAAGGTGTATATGTCTGTCTGTCAGGTATCATCTGACCTTGACCTCATTTTCATGGTTCATTGGTCAGTGTTAAGTTTTCATGGTTAAGTTTGTTTCTTAGATACTATAAGCAATAGGTCAACTATATTTAATGCATAAATTGATTGTAAGGTGTACATGTCTGCCTGGCATGTTTCATCTGACCTTGACCTCATTTTCATGGTTCATTGGTCAATGTTAAGTTTTCTTGGTTAAGACTGTTTCTTAGAAACTATAAGCAAGGTCATCTATGTTTGGTTTATTGAATGATTGTAAGGTGTACATGTATTTCTCTTTTGGTTTATCTGACCTTGACCTCATTTTCTTGGATCATGTTAAGTTTATATGTTACTTGTAGTAAAGCTTTATATTTAGGACTATCAACATAAAATCAATGGTTAGTAAAGAAGGCGAGACATTTCAGTGTGTGCACTCTTGTTCTAGTTTCATGACAATAACTGTGTGTAAGTGTATGGATCTTTCTGAAATTGTACTTCAAGGTTCCATATCACAAAGGGATAGCTGGAATTGAGTTTGGGGGTAATTGCCCAAAATGTTTAGGAATAAGGGGCCAAAAATAAGCATTTTTCTAGTTTCCAGACAATAACTTGTGTTCAAGTGTATGGATCTCTCTGAAATTGTACTGCAAGGTACCATACCACAAAGGGAAGGCTGGGATTGATTTTGGGGGTAATTGCCTCAAAATTTTAGGAATTAGGGGCCAAAAAGGGGCAAAAAACAAGCATTTATCTAGTTTCAGGACAATGACTTGTGTGTAAGTGTATGGATCTTTATGAAATTGTACTAAAAGGTTCCATATCACAAAGGGAAAGCTGGGTTTGAGTTTGGGGGTAATTGCTCTAAACGTTTAGGAATTTGGGGCCAAAAAGGGGCAAAAAAACAAGCATTTTTGTCGAGGCTTCGACTTTAGTCGAAAAAGCAAGACATAGCGATCCTACATTCCGTCGGCGGCGTCCACAAATATTCACTCTGTGGTTAAAGTTTTTGAAATTTTAATAACTTTCTTAAACTATCCTGGATTTCTTCCAAACTTGGACAGAAGCTTGTTTATGATCATAAGATAGTATCCAGAAGTAAATTTTGTAAAAATAAAATTCTATTTTTTCCGTATTTTACTTATAAATGGTCTTAGTTTTTCTGCCGGGAAATATTACATTCACTCTGTGGTTAAAGTTTTTAAAATTTTAATAACTTTCTTAAACTATCCTGGGTTTCTACCAAACTTAGACAGAAGCTTGTTTATGATCATAAGATAGTATCCAGAAGGAAATTTTGTAAAAGAAAAAAAACATTTTTTCCTTATTTTACTTTTAAATGGACTTAGATTTTCTGCCAGGAAACAACACATTCACTCTTTGGTTAAAGTTTTTAAAATTTTAATAACTTTCTTATACTATTTTGGATTTGTACCAAACTTGGACAGAAGCTTGTTTATGATCAAAAGCTAGTATCTAGAAGGAAATTTTGTGAAAAATTAAATCCATTTTTTCCGTATTTTACTTTTAAATGGACTTAGATTTTCTGCCAGGAAACAACACATTCACTCTGTGGTTAAAGTTTTTAAAATTTTAATAACTTTCTTATACTATTTTGGATTTGTACCAAACTTGGACAGAAGCTTGTTTATGATCAAATGCTAGTATCTAGAAGGAAATTTTGTTTTCTTCCAGTTAGCATTACATTCAGTCTGCAGTTAAAGTTTTTAAACATTTATTAGATTCATAAACTACCCTGGATTTTTACCAAACTTGGACAGAAGCTTCTTACAATCAAAAGATAGTATCAAGAGGAATATTTTTATTGATTTACTTCCTCATTTTTGTTGAGCCTGTGATTAACAGAAAAAGTAGGCGAGACACTGGGTTCCGCAGAACCCTTACGAATTTTTACAGTTTCCAGACAATAACTTGTGTTCAAGTGTATGGATCTCTCTGAAATTGTACTGCAAGGTACCATACCTCAAAGGGAAGGCTGGGATTGAGTTTGGGGGTTATGAATCATAAGGGGGTTCAAAAAATTGGGGGGGGGGGGTTCCTTTTTTTTTTCTTTAAAATTTTCCATTTTAAGTTGGTTATTTTTGATTTATATATAAAAGCAAATAATAATGATATGGTTTGATTTCATCAAAAATTGAAATATTGGGGTTCTTTGATATGCTGAATCTAACTGTGTATTTAGATTCTTAATTTTTGGTCCCGTTTTCAAATTGGTCTACATTAAGGTCCAAAGGGTCCAAAATTAAACTTAGTCTGATTTTAACAAAAATTGAATTCTTGGGGTTCTCTGATATGCTGAATCTAACCATGTATGTATTTAGATTTTGGATATTGGACCATAATAGGTAAATTAACAAATTTTAAGTTCTTAGACCACATTCATTCTGTGTCAGAAACCTATGCTGTGTCAAATATTTAATCACAATCCAAATTCAGAGCTGTATCAAGCTTGAATGTTGTGTCCATACTTGCCCCAACTGTTCAGGGTTCGACCTTTGGGGTCGTATCAAGCTGTGCCCAGCGGAGCATTTTATCTTATGATGTGATGTTAATGCACCAAGAGCATTCATGCAATTTTGCTGAATTTTTTTTAATTTAGATTTTGTGCATTTTTCAAAGCTCTAATGCATTTATTCCTTTGGTTTATGAGTTAGAATAAGAATAATGGTTCTGTAGTTGTTTTTTTTTTTTCAGTTTCAATTTTAACACAGCGAAATCAACATAGTGTTGGCACGTAGGTTAAGATACATGTGGATTTATGTGGGCAATAAATTGTAATACATGTAGTCATTAATAGGTACATCTCTCAGTCTGCGCTAAGTATAAATATATCGAGAATTTTATCACACTGTTGTTTACAATGCGAAAGAAGCACATCATATTAGAATGAGAAGTTACAAACTAATATAGCATATTACTAAACTATTCCTTATATTTAAACACTCTGATGAAAGATGAAGTCAGTTTAAGTAATAATGCTGAGCTATTGTTTTTACAGATAAGATATGTTTTCAACATGTACAGTATCAATGTTAAGCTGTATTTTAAACATTGCATTAATATTTATCTGTTTGTTTTTTTTTTTTGGCAAATCCATTACATTGTAGTAAAAAATGTTGTTCATCCTCAATATGCCCATTATTACTGACAAGACTTTTATCTCTTTGGAATATGAATATGTCTTTTTACAAAAGAATATGCACTTATGTGTGTTTTGCATATTGCATATTGATGCTCTATCATTTAAATTGTTGAACAAATCAACATATTACTGTCTGACCCATTGTGTAGAATTCTTATAGAAACTATATTGTGGTGCAACATATTATTTGAAAAATGTGTATGTCTCTTAACTTTGGATCAGGTTTTTGAGTGATTTCTGAAAAGCAGTGAATCTTTCTTTGGTAATAAAAGGTATTGATCACAGAATGCCATTTCAAAATGTTATCAGTTTAGTATCATAACCCTATTTGTACTGACCTTAATGATGCTATTTTGGAAGATCAGATTAATTAAAACTTGAGATGATAGATAAAACTGTAAAGATGCTGGGATTTTCCATGGAGGATACCATTATAAAAGATAATGTGATCCCATTTAAGTTAAATCAACATATAGTAATTAACTTTCACATTGTATAATTCTTTTTACTCACAAAACATGTACTTTACACAATTAAATTAGTTTTAATTAAAGTTATTACTTTATAATGCTGTGCTTCTAGGATTATTAAATGTTATTTATTAAGTAACAGAATTTATAGAAGATGGTTAATCAAAGGATGTTTTCTGACAATTAATTTGACAAATGAGGAAATATTGTCATAAAAAAAAGAAGTATGGTAGATATTGTATATGATTAATTGGTAGTGGCCATAAAAATGTCAGTAAAGGGTATATAGATGTACCTTCAAATGTTGAATTAAGGGTCTGTCTCTAATGTAATGTATATAAGGATTTTGATTAAAAAAACACACAGAATATATGATTTCCTAGATAATAGGAGATATGGGGTATATGAGACAGGAACACAATGACAAAAGTAACAGAAAATATAGAGGTCTTCAACAACAGACCATTATCCATACAATGACTTTATTCTAACACTTATATATATTCTTTATTGCACACAGTGCTTGCTGTTTATACAATGTCAAGATATAAATAGTCTTTGAAAGTTGTCATTTACTGTGGATTCATAATTATTAATCGTACCAATTTGAACCATAAATTTAAATGTTCCCTGTAAAGCTTGTATGGAGACTTACTGGCTTAACCATAAAATCAAATATCCACGAAAATAAATACATGAAATTGATACCCACGAAAATAAATACATCCACAGTGACATTCCCTGAAAATTAGTTGTCTGTGCAATATTTCAATCTCTTTACTCCTAATATTTCAATCTCTTTACTCCTTCTAATATTTCAATCTCTTTAATCCTCCCAATAGTTCAATTTGTCTAATCCTCCCAGTATTTCAATCTCTTAATCCCCCAATATTTTAATATTAATCCTCCCAATATTTCATAATCTTTTATCTTCCCAATCCTCCCAATATTCAATCTCTTTAATCCTCCCAATATTTCAATCTCCTTAATCCTCCCAATATTTCAAGCTCTTATCCCCCAATATTTCAATCTCCTTAAGGTGGATTGGGGTGGGGGTCTTCATTAATATCCATAAATTTTTTTTAATAATTTGATAAAATGTAGTTTATATCATGCTTTTTTCAAAAATATAATAAAAAGTATGGGTCACCGGCCTTTTTTTCATGCTACAGGTTGTGCAAAATTGTCAGATTTTATATACATTATGCATGGAAAACACAATTTTGTGTGATAAAAAGAAAACTACACCATAGAACTGTAAGATAAAATATGAGAAGATAGCTCTAATAATATGCTATGACGGCGTGCATAAAGCTGTCAGTCCACAAACGTAAGTCTTCAAATTACTTCAATCATTTACGACGTCGGCTTTTTTCCCTAGAAAACAAAAAAACTGGACACTTAGTTTATCACAAAGCTTTAAACATAAATGTTCAACACATTTCTTTTTTTTTTAACAACAAAGTGCAGCATATGCACATTCTGGAAATATAAATAAATATATGCTAAGAGCAGTGTAATGGAAATAATAAGCGACTATGTCGTGGACCCTATTCAGAAAATAGCGTTAAAACGTCTTTCTTTAAATTGTAACATAATAGCTGGACATTAAAAAAATTCAGGTGTTCAGCCTGGAATATCGAATCATTCATATTTTGCAGATTTTTTTAATGCTCATGTTATGCACATTTGGAACATCAAGTTATTTTGAAATAAAAAAATAGCAATTAAATACTTTTTCTTACCGATTCTTCCATTTTCGAATATAAATCCTTCCAAATTACTACTTCTTACACATAACGAACTACATTCCATACTCATCCACCATGGCCGTTTTTGTCTCGCCTTGACTTAGTCAAAAAGCGAGACA